CAACATTGAAACACTAGCATGTTGTAAGCAAGTAGCACAAAATGAACAGTTTGTTTTGTTTGTCACATTTTTAAGCTTGACTGTCATGAATGTTTACAAAATAGAAGCAAAAACTTCGCTTTTTTCTGTCGCGAAACGACTTTTTTGTTCAAACCAAACCTATGGAAGGAAATTAGCGTCCTAGTAGCTTTTTTTCTCTTTCACGTAATTTAGGAATCACTAAAATACTATGATTTAGCCTTAAACGATTGCTAATCCCGACTGTTCTGTGTGCCCTTTCTGATTATTTTACTTGAAAATTTTCAAAATTTTTTTCGAGTTATATTTTCAACATTTTTTGCCAAACTTGGCTGTTTTTTAACATTTTTAATTTTTTTTCTCCCATTTTTCTTTGCTTTTTTAAGTGAGAGGCGATTTATAAGATCAAAACTAATAGTAACAAGACTGCTAGTATCAGGGCGAAGCCCTGAATGTTCCGACTGCCTTTTAAGGTTTATTGAGCAGCAGTAATACATAAAAAAAATTAAATGAAATAAAATAAAATGAAATTTTTTTTCTTAAATTTGAATTTTTTATGAAAATCATCCCCCCACACGCCATATAAAGTACAAAAAGATAGATTTCGTTCCTTGTAACAAATCAATTATGGCAAATACTTCAATGGCAACAGCTTCAATCAACCAATTTGGAACGATTTATAAGACGGATTAAATCTCGCTTACGCGTTAATAGCGCGAATTATATTGCGCATTAATTGTCCCAAATTTGTCAAAATGGCAATCTTTAAACCCTCATAACTTTACAAAAAAAGCTCACAGGTAAAATATCTTTTCAAATTTAAGCTCAGGACAACAATACCTTTTGAATGATATAAAAAAATTCCGTCAAAAATGGCTAGTTAAAAAGTCGAAATTTGTCTGAAGAAAAAAAAAACCCACCCCGAGCACAAATATTCCGTTACTTTCGTATCGAAAGTCGGAACAATAATATATTAAATTGTTTTCAGACTAGTATTTCAGTAGTGCTTGTTATAAAATCGCATTTACAACCATTGAACAAACATTAGCCTGAGAGATAGTCATGAGACTTCTGGTCTGTTTTCAGACTTCTCTGAGCAGAAAAATTAAATTGTTCTCTTAATAACCTCCGATATAAACCTCCAATATATTCTAATATCAACTAGAACGCAAAAAATCTAACAAGTTTGAGCTTTCTTAAAAAAGGGAAAAAAAGAGGAAATATTAATAACAAACTGTTGAGATGTTATTTTGAATTTCCTAGCTGTATATTGTGTTCAATAGATCTTCATTCTTCGAAATGAAGTTGACTAAGAAAAGGTCGTTTTTTCTGTTTGTGGCTGTTAAAGACATTTTCCGGGTAAACTCATCCCTCAATTTCAGTAGATGTATGCATTTTGTGTGTTTCCTGTGCCAATCTTATTGTGTCGAATCATTATCCAGTTGTTTCATAACACTTTCGTTTGAAGTGCCATATATTAAAACTCCATATTGAATAATAGGTTGTACAAACGCTTTGTATACAGGTATCAACTGTTTAGTGTTTCAGACTTTTCTTATTTGATAGATTAAACCGCAAAATAAGTTTTTTTTCCCTGAGAAATGAAACGTGATTAAAAAAACTTAAATTATTGTCTATTGTTATTCCCAACTACCTAAATGTTTTCCTGTTTACAATATCAGTTTGATTCATTTGCGCTTCGATAGCAACTTTGTTTTGATTTTTTGAAATTCATTGTTTTTGTTTCATCGGTATTGAGTGTTTTCATTCAGCCAACGCTCAGATTCTTTAAGCGCTGTTTGTTGCTCTTGAGCTAATGAATCATTTAGTGCTGAAGTCAAAGTTGCAGTAACGTCAGAATAAAGAAAATTTGAGTAATTTGTTGACTTGAGGATAAATCGTTTAAGAAAGTAATGAAAGAAGTAGACCTAAAGGTGAGCCCTGCAGCACTTCATAAAAAACTTTTTTTAGCGATGATTTACGTTTGCTAAGATACGTCAGCTGGGAAAATTAGAGATAATAATAGCTAAATTGAAGTGAAGACTGCATTAGAATTGAAGTGAGAGTTCCGTGTCATTGGTTTGTTTCGTTTCATATAGTCAGAAAAAGGAAACATATTTTTTTTGCATTTTTTGTAATGCAAATCAGGACTAAAGAGGCTGCTTAAATAATGCCCCAGTTTAAAATCAATGAACTTTCTTTGAGGTACGCAAAATAGAGCGGAAAAAAACATAAAATAAACCTAGTTCTTTCCCCTGACTCCGTGAAGATTTTTTCTCAGTGCAGGACCAACTGTCCGTGGGGGAAGGAGGATGTCATTCATTTCGCCGCAGCTGGGCCCAGCTTGACGCGGCGGATGACACTGGGACCCCTCTAACCGTGACCAAAGCGGGATTCGAACACAACCCCCAATTTGAGAGTCGCATGCCTAACCCATTCGGCCACGGCTGTTCTACTACTACTAAGTCGTCGGCACAACAAAGATAAGCGGTTGCTGTACAAGTAGCACAAAATTGCGACAACAGCTACTGAAAATAAAAAATTTAAAAAAAGGATCACAGAACAGATTTAAAATTTTTTTTCGAACAAAAAGTCAGGCAACGCCATCGAAGCAAATTTTTTGAAATTTCCTTTTATCCGAATAAAGACCGATAAATGCATCTGACTTTTATTTAGGGTAACATAATTGTATAAAAAAACTCATCCTAGACCACAGTTCCTCACCACTGGGGGCAGTCGGTCAAAGAAAATCCTAATGACAGATCTACTGATCTTGCAAAGCTAAAAAAACAAGCCTTGAAAAACTAAAACTTCGTAATATGCTTAAGTTGATTGAGTATAAATCACGCGGCTAGTATGAAGAAGCAACATAATTTTCGCTGGAAAAAAATGGAACGGAATGTTGACACCATGTCGGAAAAAATAGCCTCGGACAAAACCACGAGCTGCGTTTGTAATAAAAAACCAAAAAACGGAGCCAGACGTAAATTTGAAAAACGAAGCATCGGAATTGAACAAAACTTAATAATAACAAATCTTATCAGCTACAGCATATCGGATCGGAAAAAAACATACTAAGCGTTCAAAAAATCATGTTTTCTCTGTTTTCAATAACCTATGTTGTTTACGAGAATTCTCGATTTCTAAATCATTAAGTCTAACAGCTATACAATATACAAGCTTCTTAATGGGGCAAGGAACTTGATAATTGGTTCAGCCTGAGAAATATTAGGAGAACTATTGAAAATAACACGCAGTAAAATCTTATAACTTGAAAAAGACTTTGACAAAACTTGTATAATTACTTCTGACATCAACCAAAACATGACAAATACTCCACAAGATTGGCGTTCTAAGTTTTTGCCAGAAAACTATTAATAACGCAACTAATCATATTGCCTTCCCATGTTTGTTCTAAATCTCAAAAAACCACCAAATTAGCCCTGTTGCAAAAACGAAATGAAACTAAATAACTCTAGTAATGAATCACTCCCCGCCATCAGAGGGATTTTTGCGTTTTCAGCCTCATTTGCCTATATTTTATAGATTTTTTAGCTATTTTATAGATTATTTGCTAGCAATTTTAACATACTGAGATATGAATCAGTAATTGAGCGCTACTTCAACACAGACGAGCAGGCTTAGCATTACAAGCTAAAAAAATAGAAAAGGAGAAACACTGTGAATATCTCGAATAAAATAGGTGAAAAATTTTATTTTTTGAAGAAAACAGAAAAATTCGATTTCAGAAAAACACTCGAGATACACAGCCACCAGCATTAAATAAGTTTTCAGTATTTATCAAATGGCTGCTCAGCTGGAAATGCATGGTTAGACGCCCATTGAGCTAAAAACATTCGAGAATGCCATAAGAAGCTGTCGTCGTTAAACATTTGGAGCGCTTAAGTTTTGAACTTTATACCACAAGCTATCTAAATTAATTTTTAAATAAAACAACCAAAAATAAGTTAACATATTCAGAAAAAGTCAGGGTTAGTAACTTCACAAATCACAGGAGTAAACCAACAGCACTTGCAACAATATTAAAATTGCTTTTAGCCCAAGAAAAAACCGTGATGTGACAGCTAAGCTGACAAAATATAAGCAGACAAACGAAATCCTACAATTGAGTTTTTCTCGGAAAAAAGATAGCCTGCAGAAGCAACTGCATCACTTCATGACCAAGTGGAAATGAGCGTGGAAAATTTAAAGGTTCAAACATAGCCAACAGACAGTTCGAAAAAGTCAATGAAGACACAGAAAACAGACTTAATGTTTGATGAACAAAACCAATTTTGAAAAAATACACCCTTGAAGCTCTTCGAATTTCAGTAGCGATTGATAAAACTAATAAATTTGAGAAAACTGGATCAATTGGTAATTATTTTAGTTTGCCGGGAAATCTAAATATTAAAATCCATTTTAGAAACTAGAAGTCGATCACGTTTATTGTAACTTTTACCGGTTTGCTGTTCGATAGTGGAGTTTGCCTTCCTTTTAAATATGAAATGAACTTAAAATGAAATCAAAAGTCAAACCGTGAAAAAATCTAAATTGAGCGTGAACAAATTATAAGACTTTCCGTCAAAAAAAAAATCACCACAACACCTATATAAGAGTATTCACAACGTCCATGACTCTTAATAATAAAGCAAGTTCAATTTCTTACAGATTTGTAAGTTTTTTACGGGAAAAAGTATAGTGCCCGATTACAAGACACTTGCTCTCGCAAGTGTAATAAGTTTAAAATATTGTACATAGCTGCAATAAAGTTGGTTTGGTTGGACTTGACTCACTTTTAAATGAAACGGCGCTTGACTGAGAATCCTTACAGAAAAAATTAGGTTTCAATATTGTGAACATCTTCATTTTAAAAGGCAAAAACAAATCACACAAAACTGATGTGATGAAACAAAAAGTATCTTCAACTGAAATAACACAAATATTCATACCATAAACTAGTTGTATTTGTTTGAACTTACAGCGAGGTGTGGATATGACAGAAGAGGGGGTGGCAGAGAGCCGTAAGGGTGGAAGGGGTGTAGTCCCCCCATCGAGAGAGCACCGTGGTGAGGATGGACTCCTCCTGCAGATCCATTCACAGCAGCCGCCAGAGAGTTCAGACCAGAGAGGGTTGCGGCGTCGAAACCTCCGACTACAAATGAAAACAAAGCCCATAATCCACTACTTAATGAACACACTTAACATTGAACTCATTTGGGTTAGTTGACATGTGGAGCCCAGTCTTCGCTTGTACCTTATCAAGCTCATATAAAAAATGACATTTGAATAGTTCAGTGTTGAAAAGTTTGGTAATCGAAGACTTTTTCTTACTAATGAACCAATGTCAAGTTCCACTTGATTATGCGTCTGTACTAAAATCTAAAGCTAATCGCGATAGATTCGAGACTTTCAAAATTTGCTGGTTTACGATTACAGCTCTTAATAATTTGCAGCATTAAACTCGGGAAACAATAAAAATAAATCCAGTTTTCGATCTCAAAAGCGACAAGGGCATTAGGCTCCAGCTGCTAATTTAAACAAGAGACCACAAAATACCGACGCCGCTTTAATACCAATGATATTTGTTTCAAATAACGTTAATCCCAAAGGCTAATTGGGAGCCGATTTTAAATTAATCAAAATCATTCTAAACACTTAATTGGTTGAAAGTAACTTTTAGACTGAACACTCGGTTATTTCATATTTTTGAGATCATTCGATTTTTTTGCAAATCCCATATATGGAGTAGATATCAGTTCTAATTTTTAATGCTTGGTCAAAAATTCATATCAGGGGTTTTGACTGAAAATCCGACAGAAACAGCATGAGACTTTGAGCAAACTTGGTCGAGATCTGAACTTTAAAAACTGGGTTTCGGATCAAAGTTAGTCGAGGGCGGAGATCCAAACTAAAAGTTCTTGGGCAAACTGATTCAAATACTAAACAGACCATTTTTTTATTTGCTGACAGCTCATAAGTCAGGTTGTTCCAAGATAGCGTTTCTCTATTTCTCTAATTTGTCTTGGGTCCAAGTTCAAGCTTGCAAATAGATTGCGACCTCGACTTGATCGATGAAACTTAAGATCAATGTTTGTCGGTTTATGAACTGAAAATAAAGGGTGACGGTCATTAGGATCATTATCTGAATTCGACTCAAACCTTATTTAAATACACAAGTGGCGACAGATAACAATATTTAGCCCTTCGTAGAAAATTTGTTCCAACTTTGGATTCGAACCCGGAACTTAGGGTATTAACATGTTTCGTCCCTCTTAAATCTAGTGGCACATTTCGTCCCTCATAAATTACTGGCACAATTCGCCCCAATTGTTCAATAAAAAAGCGGCGTTAATTAACTGTGTAATAAGTTAGGGGCGAAACGTGCGAGGACGAAATGTGTGAAATTATTAGGGGCGAAGTGTGTGAGGGGCGAAATGTTCCACTAGATTTAAGAGGGGCGTAATGTGTGTGGGGCAAAACTTGGGACATTCGCAACTCAGCGTACCCGAGTACTTGTAGCAACATCCTGATATTATTTTGCTTGGATAAGTTGTGATCTTTTGGCATACTTGTAGCTATCAGGGCAGTAAATTGAGAATTTTGTTCAAAATTTTAAGCAACTTACGTCGCAGACTCTTCAGGTCCAGGCCATTTGACGATGTGTTCTGAAACAACAACATTCTCATTAGCAAGAAATTTGTTTCATAACAGTGACAATTTTAAATTTGTTGCGGATTATTGCTATATCGCTACAAACTTGGACTGTTCATAGCTTTAGCGTGAGTTTTATCCTAGCCCTACCCCGCCCTTCGTGGCATTAGATAGTTAGTGATGATAACCATGTTTGTTAATCAAGGGGTAAGTTACTTGAAGCCAACCCCCCGCGAAAGACCCGAGGCGGGGTGTATAAATCTTTCGTCGCAATCACAACAATCTATAGCTTTTTCTCTTCTGGTCTTTAATCAAATTTACCCTCAATAATTCCCTTCTCAGTCCCACAACCCGAAAAGAACCCTGGGCTAAAAAGGCAATCAACGACTTTATTGTTATGCATCGGGGGCAGGGCAGTGTGAAATTAGAGCAGATTAAAAGATAAATTCAGAGCTCAAAGTCTCTTTTCCTACTGAAGAGTGTCAATCACAATTAGCTGGATCAGCCGGCCGATTGCACAACAAAACCCAGAAATAACACCACCGGCAATTCCGTCGGCGCCATATCAATATCAACTAGCACTGTAAACTACAGGCCATTTCAGGTTTTTGCCCAACAGATTTGAAATTCATGCTTACACTGTTGTACTATTTTACCGTCATTGCATGAAAAGAAGGAACTTCTAAATAAATTTTCTTTAAACAGATTTGAATATTGAAGTTTCAGTAAAAAATTCCCTGGAGTATTCGAGCTGATCACTGTTAGTAAGGAGAAAAATCGAAACTTGCGGGGATTTTGGAGAATCTCCCACTATGAAACTAATTTTCGTAACATAAAAAAACTTCGATTCGTCGAGAACATATGAGATTGAGATATGGAAAAAACGTACCCCACGCTTTCATTACAAACCGCAAAAGCGCATCTAGTGGCCAAAAGCTTGAAGCTTGATCCAATTACAATAATTTTTGAGTCAATAATATTTAAAAGCTTTACAGCTGCGAAAACTTCATTTGGCAAACAATGCTAGCCGCTTGCAGTGAAGGTAGCACAGAAAGTTCCAAGCACATTCGTAAAAAAAAAACGTTTTACATATTTTTCAAAATTTAGTAAATTTGAGCTTGACTAAATTATGCATAATCGACTACAGTCTTTTTGAAAAATGAAACCAGAAAACCAAAAAAACAACAACTTTTTTTTCAGCTTTTGGTAGACTTTTGATTTTTTTCATGAAAACTTTATATTGACAAGGAAAAGCTAGAAAAATTTTCAAAATGTTTTCCTGGAGAAGAAGTGCAGATTCACGTCTTAAATAACCAATTTTCTTCAACCAAACTTTACTCACTTGAGATTAGAATAAAAAGCAAAAATTTCAAATCGGAGTTTCTCGAACTTGAGTAAGCTTACCGATAGCTTTTGATTGTCGCTCAAATCACGATTGAAAAGTTTTTAAAGAATTTACTCCTCAATTCTTTTTAATGACTCTTGGGGGCACCCAGTTTTGCATGGGAAAAAAGTAGCAACAACAAAAACTAAACAATGATACCCGGTTTCTAAGCAAATAGCGCTTAATGTTACGACTATAGTCTTAGAAAAGATATAAAAATTTGTTATTCAAATTAGTGTCGTTTTTACTGTATGGTGTGATAAAAAGATTCGAACGAAAAAATAAAAATTGGGCATATTCGACAGTCATAGTCGAATTGGAAAACAAGTTTTCTAGAAAAACGACGAGAAAAACGAAAAAAATCGTTAATTGGAAAACAATTTTTGTAGAAAAAAGACTAGAAAAACGAAAAAATCGGTGAAATTTTTTAAATTTTCAAACACTTTTTCCAAATTCTTTGGCCTTCTGCGATTCCAAACTTTTTACGATTTTTTTTTTTCGTTTTTCTCGTCTTCCCAAAATTTTTTCGACACTGAATCACGACAAAAAGGCTTTAATATGATACATAACTAGATCAATTCCGATAACTATTTATGGTACCTGATTTTTCGCGGAAAACAAAAAAAAAACTTAAACACCCGAATACAAAGTTGCTCCACATTTTTCAAATGGTAGGAACAAAAACATCCGAAACAAAAATCTGAAGACATTCCGCAACACCTTTCACAGATACCAAATCAAGTTTTCACCTTAAAATATTACTTTTAAAAGATAACAATAAAGAGCGGTTTTTGTGCAAGTAGCACAAAACGCTCCGACCACAATCAGTTAAAGCTAAAAAAATGAAATTCAAAAAATGAAAAAACTAACATTGAAAAAAATAATTTTTATAAGACACAAAAGGCTTTCAATGAGGCAGCTAAGCTCCAATTTTTTTTAAAAATTTTCAATGGTGATTCGGATCTCAAAAAGATAGCTGAGTTTGATGAATTTCTTGTTCTGTAAAGAGGAGGGGAAGATTTTTTGTACTTGTGAGTGCTGTGCTCTTTTTTTTTCATGTTTTCGATACTCCGTCTTCTACCAAAATGTTCTGAGTAGTCGAGAGATATCATATCAAAACACTCTTAAAGTATTCATACAATCCTCCATATTTTTCGACATTTGCATTTTTACCAGCTACAAGCGCTTAGCAAAAAACGTTAATGTCTGGAGGGAGAAGATGCCAAAAGAACATGACTCCTCATCGAGAAGATTATTTTGGAGAGGAAAGAGAAGAAAGCCAGCACCGTGGTACAAAATATTATTTAATCAAGTGGACTGAATTAAAAAAAAAACAGCTCATAATAGTTCAGACAACTCATGGATAATACCTAGAATCAAATCAATCATTTTTGAGTCAGCCGATGAACACCACGTGAAGAACCCTGAATCTACAATTTAATGTCATTTTGCGTATTCAATATCAATTAGGATGTACGTAGTCAAACAAAATCGGTCGATTAGAAAAATTCAAATTTCATTTAGATGATTGTGCCAGGACACCGGCATAAACCGATTCTGTCAATAATTTGAATTTGTCTTCTAGTACAAATGACTGAGATAGCATTTTTTGTAATACTTTTAATATTTGAAATTGCTACAAAGAATAATTGCTTCGGAGACTTACATGGTGTTGGTTGCATAATTGATAATTATTTAATCAACTCACGTCTAGATCGCTTGAAGACGCACTGTTGGCTATCGTTTCACTTAGCAGACTGTTTTTGATATCGGCCATCAGATCGCTGTTGATGTTGACTCCACCTGCCCCCACCACCAGACCACCCAGTTCCATCTCCCCCTCTCCTTCCCCCTCCCCTTCATCTCCATAGGTGATGACCTCGTCTGTCGCACCCTGGTCGTCCCCCTGGTCTACGGGGTCATGCGAAGATGGGGGGTGTTGGGTACGTCCAGCTGCTTAAAACAACACGCCCAAAACGGTATGAAAACGATAAAACAAAAATGCATGTTAAAATATTGGAATTGGAAGGACCATTATGATAACAAGGGTATTTATGAGCAACATGGCTCAAAAAATGGTGGATATCAATCGCACTTAAACTAAACTTGAATAACAATTCAATTTCATGACGACCTAGTTGCTCAATATTCATTTCTTGTTGTGTCGGAATGGGAGCAAAAAAAATTCATGCTACAAGTATGATCGTTGGGTTCAGGAAAAAGCAAGAATGAAAGATGGGTCCCGCAATTTTTGAAAAACTTCCAGAAACACAGGTAAACAAAAGCGAATCATGATTTCGATGATTTGATGGCCTCGAAGTGTTTCTTCAGGGACCACCTAAGTTTTAGGGCCCAACTATCATACTTGTACCGATTTCCTTTTTGATGAACGGTGAAAAATTTAAAAACAGAAAATTGGTCAACCAAGTCTACGAAGTCAACCAAGTAGGAAGTTCCTGCTTTTCAAAAACTCCAATTGACGATGCAGCATTTTTCTTTTAGTTCACTTACCTGAGGTTACAACTGCAGCTTCTGAAGGCATTTTGATTTGACCCTTGCTTGACCTCAACTTCTCTCCAATAAAAAGAAGGCTGTTTTCAGTCAATTAAAGTGCAGAAATTCAAAACTCTGGATTTGAAAGCTGATCAAAACTGAATCAAAGTCGGATGGTAAAAGTTGTTATGATGGCTGGCAACAAAAAAGCAAAGTTGATCAGATCAATTGTAAAGAACTCAAATTGACGCCAATTTTTATTGGTGCGATATCCAATTTTAATAAAGGCGCAAGTTAATTTTCGACTTAAACCAGTTGCAGAGATGAAGCCGGGATTAATATCTCGCTAAGTGTGAGAAAGATAAGAAGCCAAGGATGCTAACCGCAAATTTGACAATCAAATCGCGCGCAAATCGTAAATAAAAACAAACCTTCTAGGGTAATTAAAGAAGCCTCGACGTTTAAGGAACTTATATACATAATTAATTCTCACGATTATCCACCAACCATTGATTTTCTTGAGCAGAGTAACAAAAAAATTGAACTAGCAAAACCCAGTAAAGTTTCCAGTATTCAAGTTGAAATAAAATTTAGCATGGAAATCATCCAATTTCTTCAGTCTTGGATAGTCCATCGTTAATTTTGTGCAATGATAATTTCAGGTAAAAGTTTCGGCCCAGAGTTGGTTGTTGAAATTGATCCTGGGTTCAATGACCGATTAAGGTTTCACCTAAAATCAAGAACAAACAGCATTGATCACACGGTTAAGTTTTAGACACATTCAAGATCAAAGAAACGCGGCGTGACCAGACAATAAAAATTGAGAATGTGCAGTCTACGATTGTGTGCATTACGCCATTATTACGTCATTCCCAGACGTCTTACAAAAACATTAAATAAAAAAGCAATTAAAATGTAGTTTGAAGGAGCAAAATAATTGATTGATACACCATCTATCTTTTCATGAAATTTGTTCAAAAAAACTTGTTACTTACCACGCCACCAAAGCGTGAATTTTCGGATATTATATGATATAAGTTGGAATCAACTTTTAATTTAAGAAGCGAGAAATAAATTCAAGAAGAAAAAACGAAAAATGAATGATTGATACTGTTTAAATATATTTTTTCATCGAGCGCTCATTTTAAATAGCAAGATATTAAACGCCAAATAATTGGTCGATAAAAATGTTCAATTTGCCAATTGCGATGGAAAAACGCTGTGTCAAAAATAGCAATTTAATATATTATTGGCGGTGAGAGAGAAAAAAATCTTGTTTTTTTTTCGCACAAATTATACTGCTCGTCATTTTTAAATTTGTATTTTTCAACTTGCTCCATTTTGCTGTTGTTGTTGTTGTTGTTCGAATCAGCGTTGATGAAAAGTCAAATTTAACTTTATCTTTCAAGCGTGAAAATGTAGGGTTGTAATGTGAACTCCGGGAACAATTGTTTTTATTGGGAAAAAGTAACTACGTGGCTTTGCTGTGTGCGATGTGATGTATATTAGATGCTGCTAGTAAAGATTATTGATTGGGGTCGCTGTGATATTTATTTGCGTGAAGGAGCGAAGGTTATCTGGTTATGGATAAAAGCAAAAAGGCGGTCGTTTTGAAAGAGGAAGGATAACTGCTTTAGAGATTAGGGGAGGGATAGTTAATCATAGTTTAAAGTCAGCAGTGAAAGGAAAAATAGACATAAGGGCCTTTTGAGCATTTGAAGTTACAAAGTGACAGAAAATAAGTGGTGGTGAATAATTTGTCGCTCGCTCGCTCGCTCCTCGCTCATTCTTCTCTCCCTGCAGGAATGGAAAAGACCGACCCGCTTTTATTTCAGCCTCTTTTATTTTACGGCCGCTATCCGGGTTATATTGCACCGGATCGTAATTAAAGACAGATCTGGGCACTAGATTTAAGTTAAAGTTTATAACTTATAAGTATAACAACACAACTGGGCCGATCTTAACCAAAAGAATACCACCGAGATATTTCGATATGCTATTTTAATCCCTGTTCCAACCTCCTCCTCCCCCCCCCCTCCTCCTATGCCAAGTTTTCCTCTTCCGTTTCCGCCTTGATACTCAGTACTCAGCTACTTTTCCTCAAATTTCAGCCGCTTCTGGATTTTGTGTTGTATTAGTTTTATATGTAACCGACTTGTTGTTCTTGGACTCTTAAATGGCAGGCTGGATTCCGCCACCGTTTCAAATGAACCAAGTAAAGCTGCCAGAGGCACCATTGACAGGTTGGCCAAAAAGCAGAAGGAAGACATAATGGTACTTCCCATAGTTTTCATTCGCTCACATAACTCATTAAGAAAGTTATTCTTCTGACAAAATAGTTGAATGATAGAATGGGCAAATGTTTCTGCAGCGTCAACTATTGACTTTTAATTACTATCAATTAGCTTTAAGCTTAGGTTCAAGTTTTTTTTTAGATTATAAAATTTTTAAAACAAAATTTCAAAATTAATTCATTTCGAAAATAAAAAAGCGTGTTAATTAATAGGAGCACCATATTTTTTAAATTAAAATTTTTTTATATATTTCAAAATATTAACAGTGTTTCTATCATAATTATCCAAATGGAATAAATAGTTTTCTTCCCGTTGCACCAAAATTCAGAACTGTAAACTTCACTCTATTGAAATACAATCAGGTAGCGGTGGGCACTATGGATTGGGTTTAGTTATAAAGAGTAGTAAAATTGGCAGGGTGTTTCTTCTCTCTGAAGTTGCCGTGTTCAGGGCAGAGCTGCAAACAACGCGGGCGGCGATTGCCACAACACAAATTAACGGAAATAAGTGGAACAAATAAAACTGAAAATATCGCAAGCCGAATTTCCCAAAAGCAGAGCCAATTTTTAAGTTTCATCAAATGCAATAACTCATCATTTTCTGAATAGAACAGTTAATTTTGTGTTACCTTAAGGTTGTCGACCCAAAATTGCCCAAAAATGACAGCTAAAATCGGATCTCTTTAACTATATCCCCCCTCGGGTACCTAACAACGAATATCCCCCTATAAAGAAACAAATCAACGGTTGAGCATATCAAAATTTTATACCCAGTAACGAATCTCCCCTTGTGCAGAAGGGGGCATAGTATAAGAGATCCCCAAAATTTCTAAATCACAAAAAATGGCCACAATATTTTTGTACATCTTTAAATAATGTTTTTTTGAGGTAACAGAATGGAAGTAATTATAAACTGCACTCAAATTAGGTAAATCTATTTTGAGAATCGTCTGTTTGTTTATTGCATAGCCTCCATAAAAAAGATATCCAAGAAAATTTGAAACTGACGAAAAATGGTGAAAAATTACTGAAATTCAAGGCCAACTTTAAATGCTAAAAATTAGCAATTTTTTTAAAAATCCACCAGCAGTAGCAGATTTTTTTTTTGGAGGGGGGGGGGGGGTAGGCAGGGACGCCTCTCTCCGTCAGGGATTAGACCCTCCAAAAAGTTACTAAAAACGCTTTTTTGGCCTGTTTTTTTTTTCAAAAATTTACATGCGGCAAAAAATTGATTTAAACAGGGTCGTTCTAGCGATTTGGGAAAGCTCGGAAAATCAATATGGTGGACCTAAAAAAAATTCAAAAATGTTGATCAAGTTTCGAAAAGTTTTTGAAAATCCGCCTCCTAGAGAAAACCCTGGATCCGCTTCAGCATATGTTGTCAGCAAGAATTTGAATTGCGATTTAGTTCTCAGTAGTTATTGCTGTTTGAAGTCTCGAGGCGACTTTAAAAAACTTAGTGTCGATCAGACAAAATTGGATGTCCTTAAATAATGCCTTTTGGTGGTCAAGGGTCTTTGATTTAAGTTAACCTTAGATTACATTATAAAGGCTCCGTATCATGTGTTCGTTACACTCAATTTTAAAGTAATTCGACTTAGACTTTCAAATAGCTTAATGGTTATTTATTATGAAAGAATAACAATACGACATCTGATTTCGACGGATTATTCGAAAAATATTTAAAAAAAAAACAATTTCTTTTGACAATTTCGGAATTTTGGCCATTCGATCGTATCAAGATCCCTGGGATATGTTTTCACAGCACCCTAGTTAGTGGCAATAGTAACAGGAAATGGTTAAAACCTTTAAATTGGTCTCGGCCTTTATTTTATAACGTACAACTGTGTATTTCGAAAAGTACAACTTTCAAATGAAACACTGGATGCCTATCACAGGAAAACGAAGTTGAACAACAAGTATCTCCTTTGAACTCTGACTTGTATTTCTGTATTAGGGACGGCTTTGAACCGGAAATACAATTCGAAACAAAAAAGAATTGAGGTTTGGCTGAATGGGTTTAAGTATGAACTGGGTTTTATAGGTTTAGAACCTGAAACACTATACATGTCTTTGTCTGGGTTGGTAAGCTCAGAAATAAGTCTAACTTGCCACGAAATAAATCGTATCATACAGTCCATTTCAAACATGAAAGAATCATGTGATCGAAAATATATTAACAGTCTCAGCTCAAAGAAGAGTAATAAAACTTTTAATAGCAGGGCGTGGCCTGGTTTCTCCACACTTTTTGCGACAGAGGAAAAAAAGTTTTTACATCTATCAACATTTCCATGAATTTATGTCGCCGACTTTGAATAAAAGGGATCAACAACTGTAACAGGAGGCTGTGAAAGTGGCAGAAAAGTTTTGATCATAAACGCACAAAAATTCACAAAAAAACTCCGAAAAAATCAATTTTCAAAAGCTTTTTTTTTTGTAATTTTAGCCAGTTTTTCGTACTATTCAGCTCAAATTCGCAGATGAGAAACGTCAAATTAACGCAAAGGTAATCAGATATTTTACCTTTATAATCAACCTAGCACTAAATTAGCTTAAAAGCAGAAAGATTTAGACTAAGTTTTCGCCATACCTCTCTCAGATAATGATAATAATAATTGCGGTTTCTGCGATTCCCAGAGGATTTATAAAAAACTATTCATTCTGTCTAAGCATAGTCCATTTTCCGGATTTCTCCACTTTCCAGACTGAAACATTTTATTGAGCGAAGTAGTTTTTGTGACTCAAGGGTGATTTTTAGAATCTGGAAATTTCAAGTGGTGCCACTATTACAGCCGATTTTCGTCAGGCTATGGTAGACCTGACGCTATAGGTCAAGTGATAACTCATCCTCTTTGACTTGGCAGGGGTCCGATTATACGATCTGACGCACACAAAATAAACGCGTTATCACTCTGATCAATTCCCTTTTGAAAATTCCTCTTGGAATCTCAATTTCTGAAAAGGTTTCAATGCCATACCACACTAAAAAAAAACTTTTCAGAAAAAAAATTTAAATAAAAATTGCATCCCCTGTTTTATCGAATATATTTTATCAACAACAAATAAGACTTTAGAAAATGAATCAAATAGTAAATTTTCATTGTGCAAACTTTAAATAATCAAATAGTCGAACTTAGAACTTGTTTTTTAAACATGACGTAAAATTTAATCAACATTGAATTTATTCAACATTTCATTTTTTACACGGTAAACAAGCAAAACAAAAATTTTCAATGTACTCAATCATTCAGTTTCAGTTAAAATTGGCTAAAATTAGATAAAACTAGTGATATGAACGCAAATTAATCAGATACTTTCGCCTTTATAGTGAACCTAGCGCTAAATAAGCATGGAAACAAAACGAATTGGAGTTAACTTTCTCATTGCTGAATAACCTTTTTTCAAATTTATTTTTGGAATATTAATTTCTAAAAGGG